TTTGTGAAATGAGAATCCGGCCTGAGAATTTCACAGAATAGGTAGGTATTCTATTTTCCTCTTGCTGCACGTGGTTTGACTTTTCAGCAGCACTTACTGGATTTACTGTATATTTATGTAGAGAGTAGCACAGATAACGTTATGCATTTGTTTCACTTGTTAAAGCAGAAACTCAGAAATCATAATTTTTCTAATTTTTTTAAAATTTTATCTTTTAATTTGCTCAACTTCTGCATCATACAATCCAGAACATATCAGCCACAACATTTACAGGTGACTCCAATACATGCAGTATCTCCTCCTGTAGATATATAATCTGATTTTACTCACCTAAAACTGGGAGGATTCAAAATAAACAAAAACAAATATACTGAAGATATGCCTTCTATTTCAAAGCTTTACGTATGCAATAGTACTTGACCAAACTTATTTACCTTTGTATAGCTATAGTCTTGATATAGAGTGGTATCAGTTATACTAAGAGTTGGCATCTCTTTGCAAAACTGACCTCTTGTTTACAATTTTATACTAATCACCTTACTGATCTTTCAGTATTGAATATATTTGCTTTTGCAGTGCCCTACTCTCTACTGTCTGAATATTAAATGTGTTTGTTTTCCCAGAGGGCTAGAGAACATTGGACAAAAGGGTTCAGCGGGAGAGAGTGAAATAAAAAGAGGTTGTGAGTCTTTAACCTTGAGCCTGAAATGAATGTGAACCAAACTCAAGATACTTGGCTTATATGAAGCCAGGTAAACATTCGAGTATAAGCCCACACACTACCAACCATAATACATCTGTTATGCTTAACAGGCTTTGTGTATTTTGCCTAGATTGTTGTACTTAGGAGTGAGATTCTGAACTTAATCTTTTTCTTCTGATGGGAAAAATTTGTAGTGTCTGAAATTCTATTTCTTTTATTTTTCTTGCCTGATGCAGTATAATAAATCTAACTTTCAAGGTGTGATGCAACTGAAGAGTTTTTTTCTATTACAGCTACAGAGAAGAATGAAGTGGAAACTTATAGCAATGTCAAAAATGTCCTGAAATGTTGTCCCCACAGTCTTTTGTTTAAAAGCAGTTCATTTTTTTCTGTTGTCTACATTACTGTGAGAAAAGGGAGCTGTATCACACTGTTTGTCTTCCCTTGGCATTGTCAGTATCATAAAAAAAATCATTACATGAACTCTACATAGTTCATAATAAACTAACACTTTCTAGGTTCTATCCATCATGGGTATGTCCCTGCTTTTACATGCTGTACAACCATAACAACATTATATGAAGTTCATCCGCTTTATTTTCTTCAAAAACGTAATGTGGGCTTTGTTTCAGCAGAGCCCCTTAACAGTTTTACACCAGATACTACTTCAAATCTTGAACTTAAGCATATATTAAAAGAATTTGTTGCTGTTGGGCCGTGTAACTCTGGGTAAATAGTATTTCTTTCAGTTCTTAGCTTAAATATGGTGGTAGTATTTCATAGAAATTAAAATGCCACCTTTGTATCTAACAAACCCTCTACCTTTGTTTCCACTAACATAATGAAGGAAGCAAGTTTTGTCCCTGTAAGCAATAATTTGATACATTGGAGGACAGACTATGAATGAGATTTTGAATTATATTGTAATACAGAAATTCTGTCACTGAATGAGGTGTGACACTAAAAAAATAAATGTTTCTTCTAGATGTCAAGCTAAATATGCAAAATTAAAGTTTGGGAGGGAGTTTCTCCTTAAGTGAAAAATTAATGGAAAACATATATACATCTCAAACTGTAGAGAAATTTTAAGAAAAGGAGGTAGTTTTCTCCAGCTCCTTAGTGAAGAAAACATATTAGAAAGCTAATTTTATGTAGTCTCAGCTTTAGGGATTTTCCCAAGTTTGGACCTTACATTACTGTTGCATTCAGCTAACCTATTTCAGGTATCAGCAGATCTGAAATAGTTCTCAGCTAATATTTCCAGTGAAAATCATTATGAACAAGTAGAAGCTATTCTAGTAGCATCTAATTGTTCCTGGACAAACAGTCCATGCAAAAACTTTGCCACGTATCTTCACACAGTGTGATACGACTGCTGGCTGATTGTATGTTTTGCAGTTATGTCTTCAGATTGTTGTGTAAACACATCTAAGCAAAAGATGTTAGTTAATCATTAGTTCAAGCAGTCACTGCAGAGTACCAGATTCAGGTCATGGCAGGCAGGTTTTCATAACTGGCTTTCAAATACAACCTAAATCTATAGTTTTCCCTCAGCTAAGATGTTAGCTAGCTAGATTGAATAAAAGCTTGGTAATAAATGCAAGTTAGATGACAAATTTTGGTATTAAATGCAATATAGATGCTTTC